CTATCATATAATAAGGCCAATGGATAATAGAATAATCAATAAGACGTCATCTCTTCTCCTAAGGAACTATAGAGGAAGGCAGATGTGTGCAGACCTTGCTAAAATAAAACTAAGTTTCTTAAAGTGACTTAATTAAATCACACAAACTATAATTAACCAGTATGTTAAAGATAATGCTAAATTAATGACAATTGATAGCTTTGTAAAAGTTAAAAATCACCAATTTCAAAAACCATTTATTGTTAATTTTTTATTCTTTCATTGTTAGAGGTAGTTGGGGGTTTAGTGGGTAGAAGGAAGAAATGGAAGGAAATATTTATTTTTGAGTATATATGTGTATTTTTTTAAAAGGAGAGAATAGAGTTTATTTTAAAGATATTTAATGTTTTTCTCAGTTGTTATCTTCACAGTAGTATATTTGAAGGAAAAACATTTCTGGTAGTTATAATGTTTGTTTTCTTTGGAAAAATTACAAATTGAGTTATACTCAGCCAAATATGTTTCTCTGTGTCTGGATTTATACAAGAAAAAAGTGTTAACCTTAAGCTGGCATCTGTCTGCTATCAGCAGTTGAATTAGTTGGCTCACCCACTGTCAGTGTGTATACTCAGGGAATGCAAATTTATTTTACTATTGGCTGAAATAAATAACATTAAGAAAATAAATCTGTTAATTTTTTTTTTATCTGAGGCTAAACACAGGGAAAGATTGGATCATCTATGATTTATGGAAAGCAGTACGGAAACAGGAAGGGCACCATATTGAGAGTCTGGAGTCCTGATTGAATTCTGTTCTTGCTGTTTATTAGGCATATGACCTTAGGCAAGTCACTTAATCATTCTGCCTGTTTTTTCATGTGTTAAAAAATGACTGTAATAAAAGTAATGCCATTTTTAAGCTTGTTAGGATGAAACTTGATGTGTAAAGGCTTTGTAAACTATGATATTTTGCAAGTATTGGTTGATAATTTTTAGATTTTTGCCTTTTAATACAGATATTAAGAATATACTGTATAAGACTACATATATTTTGCAGAATTGAGTTTAGCAGTTTTGATTTATTTCAATTTATATGAGCTTTAGAAAAAAAAAGGAAATTTGTTTTAGTACTTCCTAGAATCTCCCTTTTAAGCATTTTAGAGATACTTTTACTAACTATGTGGTAGGCAAATTGATATATATGTTATTCTATTAATCTATAGATGTACAGTTTCTATTTTTTCTAGGTCTGATTGTCATAAAGTTTTAATAAGAAGTTAACCAAAAGAAACTTTGTCTAAAATAGAATAGTATCGATTGGAGAAATAGTTTCAAGACATGGTGAAGATTGTGAACTTTAGAACTTTGTCTCAGTCTAAGCAAAGCTCTAGTAATGTCTTAATTTGAAACAGCTCAAGGCAGTTTGACAGTATGTATCAGAAGCATCAAAACTGTCTTTAACTGAATACTATTTCTAGACTGTATACTTTTGAAAAAATTGGCAATTTGCATTAATATTCATCTACTGCCACAAAAACTATAAAAGAATAATGATACAAGAAAATGTTTATCATGTATTATTAAGTAGAAAGGCAATTTACACAAACTTTGTATGATACAAGACTAACTTTGGTTAAAATAATAAGACTGATTTAATAGATACCAAAATATTAATAATATTTCAACAATCTTAGACTGATAGTGTTCATAGTGATTATTATTTTCTTCTATAATTTCTAAATTTTGTAGAAGGAACATGTATTACTTTTATAAGCAGGGAAAAAACTATATGTGTGTGTGTATATATAAAATATCATGGATTTATATATAATGTAAATATAAGAAGTTGTTAGCAGTATTCATGTACATAAGAATAATATTATTAGTGATTGAACTTATTGCAAATGCCTTTTGATTTTGTCATGCTACAACTCTTGTCTATCTTTTGATGAACTATAATTTGCAGCTAATAGGAAGTTTTTAGTTGCAGGATGAAAGTTGGTCATATTAAAGGAGGCTGAGGCTGTCTTAGCCAGGGCTCATCTGAGCTGGACTGGCAAACTTGGCCAGTTACTGTCATGTCAGTCCTTTTTTGTGGGGCTCCAAATTAGTACTAGTTTAGAGCAAGTGCAAAGCCCCACGTTGGTTAGGCATTGCATTTATTTCTCCTGAGACTATGACCTCTTCCTTTTTCTACATCCATCTCTTAGCACAAAGTCTGGCACATGTTAGGCACTCAGCAAATAATATTGGAATTGAAGTGAAATGGAAACTGAAAATTATGCTAACTCCTAACATTAGCTTTACTGAAAAGTCATGTCAGTGTTAAATGAAGCAAGTTGTGCAGTCACAGGTCTAGTCTCTACTTGGATGCAAGAGAAGTTCTTAGGAACAACAAAAAGAGCTTATGTTTAGCCATCAGAATAGGGTCTTCTCTGTGCCTCTTGTAGTTTGGCTGCTAGAGGTGTAGTGGAAGGCCCTCAGCACTTTCAGCATTTGACGCAGTCATTTAGAAGTAAAGTATGCGCATTGGTAACTAATGAAGAATTGGAACATTTAAGAGGAGAGTAATGCAAATTTTTATAGGTGCATTTTAAGTAAAATGTATTTTGATAATCTTAACTAAGCTTCCACCTTAGCTAGGCAGGAAAATCAGGTTTTGTCCTTTTGCCCTCTGTGCTATTCAACAACATATGCTGTTTCTCATGTTAAGACCTTAACAGCTGTGCCAACAAGTCCAGTTTGAAAAAAGTAAGGGCTTAATGGTGTCTCTTTACAGATCAGCCTGTCAACAACTCTGTCCATCAGTAGATTACTTCAGCCCTTTAGAACAGTTGTTCACTTCAGACATAGGGGTCAAAAGTCGGTGTGGTTAAGATATTGCAACTTGCTAACAGGGATAAGAATTGAAATTATGAATATGGAGCTCTGGATGCTAAGGAGAACAATGTTATGACAAACCTAGGTGTGTTGCTTTTTGACAGAATAACTCAGACACTGCTGTTAGTGACTAGAACCCTCTTTTAGGCATTGCCCCTTTACCTTATATTGAGATAACTTGTCGCTAGAATTTATTTTGGAACTCTGTGTGACTTTTAACTCATTTCAGTTTAGCAAGCATTTGTTAAGTATTAAATTAGGTGCTGAGGTTACAAAGATGAATGATACTTGATCCCTGTCCTCAAGACTTTCAGTTTAATGGGGAGGACATGAACAGATTACTTCAATATATTATATAGATATGCACAGAGGAGAGTTAATTAGCCCAGCCACAAGAAGCCATGAAAGGGAAAGCTTCATGGACAGATTAACTGATAAACTGTGTCTTGCGTAATGGGTAAGACTATTCTAGGCAGAGAGAACAATGTGAACATTAGAAACATGTTTATTCAGTAAAGAAAGGAGAAAGGAACTAGACTGATAGAGAATAGGTCATAGAGGGCCCTATAATGCCCTGAGAACATGCTCAATCTTTATCCTGAAAGCAGTGAGGAGTCACTGGAGAGTTTTGAGCATTGACATGTCATGGCTGGATTGTAATTTTAGGGAGATCACTCTAGAGGCAGAGAAGAGGATAGTTTTAGTGGGACAAGATTAGTGTCAGGGAAATCACTTTAGAAGGCCATTGTAATAGACCAGGTGAAAAATGATGGGGGCCTGGGCTTGGGCACCTAGTCAGTCAGGGATGGTAAGGATAAGATAGTATAGGTGATCCAAGAAGTGTTCTAGGTGTTGAAGTCCTCAGGACTTGAGAGATGGGGAGTAGGGGGATGATACTATTAGATTAAAAATGTAGGAAGAAAAATAGTTTTTAGGGGGATGATGATACAATAAGTTTTAGATATGAGCTTAAGTTGCCTTAGGACATTTGAGTGTATATGAACTCTTAAAATTCAGGGAAATGGTAGTCAGTACTTGATTAAAAAAATTACCATTTTGAGTAAGAATGAAAAACAAATGTATCAGGGCAACTCCCAAAGTAATATTGTCACTTGAAGAGGGCTGGGCATAAACTGGGTATAAAAATTTGGGTTTGTACAGCAGCAGTATAAAGTTACTATAAGTAGGTTAAATATTGCAGGGAATGGAGCATTTCATTTTGTGCAAAGTCATCTTATATACCATTTATAGGTTACCTGTTTGGAAACTTTAGGATATAGTATGGCATAATAGTAACATAGTACTGGATATAATTTAGGTTTCGATAATTCAAAAGGGATTTTTGGATTTTGTGGTTTGTCAGTATCATGGACATCAGTGATTATACTAACAAAATTTTGGATGTGATATTCAAAATATAAAAATTTTCAGATGTCAGTAATAACATTTATTGAGTGCCTACTATGATCCAAGCTCTATTCTAAGTACTTTGTATTGATTCATTGCATATAATCCTCTAAAATAGGTAAGTACTCATATTATTTCCATTTTATAGGTGGGGGAAAACCATGGAAAGTTTAAGAAACTTGCCTAAGATCATGCAGGATTCACTCCCAAGGAGTCTTGCTGCAGAGTCCACCCCTTAGCCACTTTGCTGTACTGCCTTATCAAACAATAAAAATGCATTATATAACAAAAGTCCCTAGAAAGATAACATTTCTAGAAATGTAAAGTGGTAAGAACTTCAGAAATAGTTTAGTGTCAAGAATTTATATATATATATATTTTTTTTAATTTAAAAAAGGATTACATTGCTTATTAGGGGGAATGGAAATCTGACAAGTCTGAAGAATTAAGGAAATAGAAATACAGAAAGTTGAATTATTACAGGGAGGGAAAGGAAGAATATGTCAGAGATTAATATTTATAAGGCTAATTTGTAAAGAAGTTGAAATTCTCTGAAAAGAATGATAGTTTATCACTGCTACTTCTGCCACTGTATATTTACATAAGACTTTATATTTTTCAAAGCTAAGAGAAAAGAACGAATAACTAAGATTACATGCTGTAAGTGTCAGAAACAAAAGAACCTAGGTCTTCTGACTCAGTCCAGAGCTCTTTCCATTATGTCATATTTTTTAGAACCATGCAGTTTCAGTCCTCAAATCCACAGAAATGGAGGGGGAAAGGAAAAGAATTAGTCCATCATCACTAAATGCAAGAAAGTAGCAACAGCAACAGGGATGCAATGGTAAGGAATGAACCAGTAATGCTATAATCAAAAAGACTGCCAAGCTTCTCGAATCTGATGAATCAAATCCTGTTGATTGATGTATTTGACAGGAAAGTCACCAAAAGGAAAGTACTTAGGTGTATGAATAATTGTTTTCCTTTCTGTTCTCAAGAATCTTTTGATGGTGATTCTCTTCAGAGAGGAGAAAGCAGTAGAAGTGATTGGGAATAATCAGTCTAGGAGTAGAAAAAATTTTACTTTTTATTTTGTGCTTGTCTGTGCTGTTTAAATTTTGTAACCTGTGGATATATTACTTAAAAAAACATATTAATAGGAATTTCTGTATAATAGGATTATGAGCCACTTTAAATATTTTTAAATTAAATATTATATAGTGCATGAACTGTGCTAACAGACTTTATCCCAAGGGTTATCAAGTAGGTTGGCATTGACATTCAGAGTGAATTTTCCACAATTCCTCATAGAAACTATTTTTATAACATGGTTAGGACAGGAGTGGCACTATAAAAATATTCTGTTAGTTCAATGGGAAAGTTGGAATTAAATTATAGATAGGGATGTGGGAAATTTTACTTTCTGTAGTCTCAGAAAATCGCTTGCGTACATACATGTCTACACTTGTTCCCGGGATAGGAAATAGCTTTCCTGAGTGAAAGAGATACTCTGGCAAGAGTGAGAATCAGACTAGCATTCTTCTGTCAGTTGTTCTAGACAGACTGTGCTGAGAGGGACTTTGAGGACCTTCATCCACCAAAAGCAGAGAGAAGCCAGCAGTTTGGCTGTATACCTGGTTTATTTGTAAGGCGCACATTAGTGAATTAGGGAACTCTTCACAGTGATCAGTCGGTGCCTATTTTCACTCTAAAGCCATTTTAGTCCTCTAACAATCTGTTTGGATGATGTGCTTGCTACCTGATGATTTTGCAGTTTTATAAGATCCCAGAGCAACTACGGTGTATAATTTGCACAATGTTTATACTACCCTTGGAAAAGATGAAAAATGCATGTCCGAACTAGGAATACACTGCTTTTCTGGAAAACTATAAAAGTTCTAAAGGCATTTTTTTCATGATGACATTCTTGAGAAGGGATCAGTTTTTCTTAAAAAGGGCCATGGTATTCTGGATATTAAATTAGTGTGTTTGTGGCCTGTGAGTGAAAGAAGAAACACCAAATGTTGGACTGGGACTGTAAGTCATCATCCTTGATAGGAGCAAAGTTTGCTCTTCCTTCTTGTGTCTGGACAGTCACCAAAGCCGGTGGTGAATTGTGCAGTCGACTTCTCAGAATCTCAGAGAACACAGAAGTATTTACATGGACAAGTGATCTGATCTCATTTGTTGGTTGCTTGTTCATTTTATATTTTATTACGGATGAGACTTTTTATATTTAGAGGAATTACTAAAAATGGTTAATGTGATGGAAAGGAAAGGGATTTTTATGATTTTTAATAATATTTGTTTTATAGTTCTTTTAAAAACAAATGAACACATATATGAAATTATGTATGAAGAACCTTTAAGAACCAGAAAATAGCTCCTCCACTCCAGAGTTTCTGGGCATTCAGAATAGCTTGGTATACATCCCATTTACCATATATCAGTGATTTTAAAACATTTTTTTTCACATTTAAAAAATTTATAAAATAGGGATACATTTTGTAATCTTTATTGGCTTGTATTGAAGTCAGATTACTTCAAAAAAGACTTGGATTTGCCTCTACCAGTCATTTGCACTACTACCAACCTGAGACCATTTTAAATTAAATCTCTCTTTGAGAGTTGTGGGATTTTGTTTTGTTTTGTTTTTTGACCCCACTGATAGTATTAATTCAGACTATAAAGCTGTGTAAGAACTGTCTTTTGGATAAAATTCCTTCTACCCAGTGCCTAGTACTTGAAAGGTATAGACTTTCAGGGTTTCTTGTCTCTTCCTGTGTGGTCAGTTTATTTTTATTTATTTTACACTGCATTTATAGCCCTTCTGTTGTTCCAGGTTTGCACGAGTTTTCTTATTTTTTTCTTCTTGTGGAACATAAAAGAATAATGCATCTTATAATAGATGTTGGCTTAGATGTGGTAAAAGATCTATCAGATGTTTATTTAAGCCTTTACCATACTTCTTACCATACTTCTTGTTTACTTATTGTAGACATACTTCTAAAAACCTCAATGTCATTATTACACATTTCTTTGCTGATTCTTCATCAGTGATCTTCAAACTTTAATTTGCTAAAGAATCAATTCGGGAGTGAAAATTATTTATTTTTGTGATTTATCCCCAGAGATTCTGTTTCTGTGGACCTAGGTGATGCCCAGGAATCTGCACTTTTTTTAAATACCCTCTAGGTCTCCTTCCCTAAATGATTTAAGGACCACACTTAGAGGAAAACTGCGTACTCTATATATAAGTGAATATTCATGGCTTCAGCTGCCATTGGTATATACTGATGATTTTTCAAATCCTTATCTTTAATGTAAACCATTCTTGGATGCCAGACTCACCTATACATAACTGGCATGTTTCTGTTAAAGGCAGAATACACTTTGATCTGGGGTACATGGGCTCAAGTCCCAGCTCAGCCACTTAATAACTGTGTGACCTTTGGCAGGTTGCTTAACTTCTCAGTTGCCTCTTGTAAAATAAAATTAATATAAATATCTCACGGGGTTGCCTTGACAATTCAGTGGATCAATACATGTACATTTCCTTGACCAGTACCTGGCACATAATAAGCTCAATGTAAGTGGTAGCTGTTTTTATGTAGTTACTGTCCCACAAGCACTTCAGACATGTCAAAAATGAACTTTTATATTACCTCCACACCCCTCAAAATCTGTTTTCTGCTTTGACTACAGTTTTAATTTCTTCCTATCATTAATTTTCCTCATCCAGGTCATATGTTCTATGACTTCAACATCCTAATCACCTCTCATTCGTTCCCTGTCTTCATTCCCACTTCTATTGCTTCTGTTCAGGACTTTATCACCTCTCACATAGCATTCTGGAGTAGCCTCCTTCCTGGACTTCTAGTCTCTGGCTGTTTTTCTCTGTTCTAACTCACAGAAATCTGTACCAGAAGCAATGTGATCCTACTTCTCCTTTGCTGGGTGGCTCTTATTGCCTACGGGATAAAATCCAAGCACCTGTGCCTGGCATATAAGGCTCCTCGTATCTGGTTTCTGCCTCCTCTTCTGCAGTACTCAGGCACATTTACAATCTTCCAGCTTTGTACATTTTCTGTAGTTGCTCACCCAAAACACCAGATCCTCTCTAGCTTTCATAACTGCATAAATAAGCAATATGTAGCGTAGTGGTTAAAAGTGTGAGCTTTAGAGCCAGACTGCCTGAGTCAAATCCTGACTTTGCCACTTAACTAGTTATGTGATCCTGGGCAAAACAGTTTTTCTGTGCCACAGTTTACTCATCTTTAAAATGGGAGTAATTGTGCCTCACAGAGTAGATATGTGGATTTTAGTAACTTAATTCACATAATAAGCATTCAATAAATGTGAGGTATCATTTTTATTATTACCATGCTATTTCTTTGGCTTGTGCACTTGATCTTCTCCTCTACTCATTCTCTCACTTTCCTTTGTCTATCAAATTCTGTTCATTCATCCTTAATATTTCAGTTTAAGAAGGAGCTCCTCCAGGAAGCCACCTCTGAAATCCCCAGTCTAGATTAGATGCTCCTCCTCTGGGTTCCCATGGCACCCTTTGTTGTGTAATTTAGCCTTGAATGTTTTAAGGTCGGCCAGAGACTGTGTTTTTCATCTTTGTATGGCTAATAAATAAAACTTGATTGTTTTATTGTTTCTTATTATTTACAGGTTGGGAAAGCAATTAGAAAGCAGAGAGAGAGTCTGCTAGAGTCAAGTAAACAGCTTATAAGCAGACTGGAAGGGAAGAGATAGCAAGAGGTGAAAAGACAGAAAATAAAATGTGTAGCAGTCTGGAACTTTCCAGTGAAGGGACAAACAATTCAACAAGTATCAGTGTGGCTAAGTGTCATCATGCATAATTAAAATGCTATTATGATATCCTTAAGTTATCCCAAAGGTTAAATTGTATTGCATACACTCTGCCTGAAAAGAAAAGTAGGTTAGGCATTTTAGAAATATTTCTTTTAAAACTAGTTGAAATAAATATTGGTGATTAAATAGGTAAACTTCAGTTATATATCATTGTCCAGCAGCTCATTCCCCCTTGGACTGCCTGACTAATCAGTACTCCCATAATTAATTCTGAATATTGAGTGTGCTCAGTCTGTGGAAGAAAAAAAAAATGTAAAGGCCAGGGAAGATTTATAGCAACTGATCTGAGTACTGTTGATTTTGAAATTCATTATTTGTTGACTCAATTTCTAAATTCTTCCTGCATTTATAAGTTTGCCATCATCCATTCCAAAGGATGACCTAAAACAAATAGACTGCCAGATGTTTCTCCAGCAAAGATGCGTTTATTTGGTCAGCAGAAAATTAAAACTTGGAATCTGCAACTTTGGTGAGTCCTGTGCAAGTCCCTGCTTGGCAAGGGAGGGAGAACTCTTTTATAGAGGTAAAAAGGAAGTTGGGAGGGCTATAATAAACAAAGAGTCGATAGCTTTTCATTGGCTAAGCCCTTGAAAGGAAAGAAGAGGAAACTTCCTCCTTTTGGATTTAGCTATGTCACAGGGCTTGAGAGCTCTTCCTTCAGGTCTCCCTACTCTATTTAATTGAGGTTTCTATTTATTAATTTTTTTATAAGAGAAATGGTTAGAAACAGAGTTAAAATTCAAAATTCAATGGATAAGTATAATAAACATAAGAATGTTGAAACCCCTTCAAAACAACTTATGTAAAAGAAGGGGGGAGGATATAGCTCAGTGGTAGGGTGTATGCTTAGTATGCACAAGGTCATGGGTTCAATCCCCAGTACCTCCATTAAAAATAAAACACATAAATCTAATTATGTATTAACAATTAAAAAAGAGAAAAGAAAAGAAAAGAAAAAAC